ATAGGGCGTGCGTTGTCATATGCTTGGAGAAGAGGGCGCGCACCAAACCAGCAGTACTTAGGAAGTAGTAAACAGGTACAAATTCATAAGGCCTTTATGTCATCGGGAAGCTGTAGAGTACTCATCATACATGCAAGAGAGGGAGGGCCTGCAAAGGGACTGGAGCGCAGTCAAGGCAGCCTTTTCCGTAATTGCTGCGGGCTCAGGATCGCATGGAAAACGGGGGGAAAGATGGAAAAAGGTGCAGAAGGCCGCTTGAATGCATTGAAATCCAGGTAAACTCATACGACCTCTACTCTGCAGGGACAATGACTGTATGCACCCTTTCTTCTGCTGAGCAAAGGGGAAGGCAGATAAGTAGAGAAGATAAAGCTGAAAGAGGATCGTGCTGAGGCCGGAATTCTCCTTAACGGTATGATTAGCCTGTTCAAATTTGAAGGTGCAAATGAGGCGTGAAATGAGGCTAATGTTGCAAATTAATGAGCCAGGCTATCATTTCAATCGAATCCAACAAGGTCGATAAGAGCGAGTGTCAGTTCAGGATTGAAAACTCGATTAGTTTTATTGCGGATCGCGATCTTCCATAAATAATGGTTAATTAATTGGTGACAGGATTAAATGAAAAGAAATGCTGCATATCTCATGCTCTGGGTCACCGAGTGCGATCCCCTTGACCTCTACGTTAGGTGTTAGACTGGTCTTCATGAAAAGCTCCAGGCGTGAACCCCCTGTCAATTGCGTCGCCATATCGAACGTAAAATTTATATCCATTCGTTTTTGTGTTCCCTTTTCAACACGCCTGTCTTATATCTAGATAGATCAGCGTGAAACAATGAAAGTCGCGCACCTAAAAAACGCTGTGGAGTCCGCCATAAAAGGGCACGAGGTCATCAAGCTGGCTACTTCCTTTCGTCGACCAGTTCTATCTTTCCCTCACGACACCTTCTTGCTGGTTCCGGATTAGTTCGCGTTGCGCGAAGCTTCATTCTCGCGGACGTCTCCATTTATCTGCTACGTTCTTCTCCACGTGTGTTGTACGGTACCTCCCAGTTCTGTATCAAACAAAAGTTTCACAACAGTAATTCGCTATTGCAATGGAAGTTTCAACATTGGAACAGTAGTACCTCACTAGTAAGCTAAAGATAGGACTTGGAGAGAATGGAGAGAAGTACCTCTACAAAGCATGATACCATAAGTTTTGCGAAAGGTTTCCTGCTTCTCCACGGGATCCTAACAATAATTGAGTAGGTCTCGGATACGACGATGACTCAGGGAACTCCCATGTAAGAGAATGTTCGATCGAAGTCGAATGAAAGCGATTTTTCAATCACACGAAGATCGATCTCGAATTTGGTGCGGCTAGGTGCTGCTCAAAAATACGATCTTCGGGTGCAGTTCGGCTACGGGGGGAGGGCATTTTGCACTTTCACTGCTTCACTACTTCTGGTTTACAAGTCTCACTCTGGTGAAACTTGTGAACTCTTGTGAAGCTGGAGCAAGCTCGTCTAGCCACCATGGTAAAACGTGTCAACTCAAGAAAAGGCTATCTAGATGGGTCGACACATCGATGGAAACAAAAATGCCCCCCGTCGCCGAATAGCACCCGATGCAATTATAGCCATGCTACATTTGTTCGAGTGATTGTTGAGGCATATTGACCCAAGTAAGGGAAAAGCCTTTACTGCTGAAGATGTTTCGCTTTTTCCTTACAGCTTACAACTACCTTTTAAAGGCACAGTTCGCGACCGCAAATTGCGGGAAACGGAACTCATAATGGGCACAAAAAAGTGCTGAGTATCTGATTGTACGGAGAAAAGCAGCAGAAAAAGCAGTCCGAAATGTTATAGAGAAAGATAACATAGTGGCTACTAGCTAGTAGCTAGCAGCCGGTGAGGGTCGGCATGGGCCTAAGGGGTGTCCATGGGCCTAATTAGTCAGCTTCTAGCGGAGTTCTTGCCGTTTTTCACATTTTGAAAGTAGCGCAGCCTCAAAAATCGCCTTCCGGATCGTCCGACACATTTGAGAGGTCATAGCCTTATTTTATCGCGGAATGTGCCTTTAAGTTTGGAAATCCAAGCAGTGGTGGAACCACTAGAGGCTGATCTCTCTGTTGAGACATTTATTCCTTAGGGGCTTCTGGGAATTGCAGTAACTAATGTGGTTGATGTTGTAGGTAAGTTACGAATAGAAAACTCCGGACTACTTTCGAAGTGTTCAAAAACGAATTTGCATGAAGACCGAAATTCGAGCCCAGAAAGTTATTACAATGATGCTGTGCTATAAACAAAAGAAATAACCGCACCAGATCCTCTTGGTTCCCAGGCCGTGCGCTAACCATTAGGCCAAGGAGGACGGTTCCTAGGCAGGGTCAAGCATCACGTTGAGACTCGTCTGTATGACCTAACCCCTAAAAGTGGTCGTCACGACCGACTCTATCCCCCGTGCATGCAGTTGCTTTCCTTCAGCTGCGTCGCTTGTCGGCAATGGAGCGCAGTATTTTGCTGATTATTACTTATAGATTTCAAAGGACGGTAATTTTCCACTGATAAGCCAATTTCACGAAAAAATGAACGGTGCGAGTCATGATCTTTCAAAATCGCGCACACGAAAATTAGTGAAAATTACAGTACTGGATCACAAGTTTAGGCCTTTGCCCCTGGACCATAACTTTGGTAATAAAGGACGAGGGACGAAACAAAACCGGTCCTGGAGTTAGGTCTTTTCGTTCTAAAAAGCACAAATTTTTCGAAATTTTTTACAGAAGTTTGTTATCGAAAAAGTAATAAAGGTTTCTTTTCCGACACACGTGATAAGACCTGAGCGCGCGAGTTTTCAACCTCCCAGAGAGAGATATCTAATTTCGGCAATAAGGACCCAGAGCAGAATGAAAGCCAGCGCTCAAAATTTCGGACTTTTTCTCCCAAAACATTACCAAGTCGTCCATGAAAATTCATAAGTTGCTCGTTGGATTACGACAACGAGGAAATTCTTTTCTTCGTTCTTTTCTTCTTCTCTCTTTATCGTCCTTTGGAAGCGCATAATTTTGCTTCATACATAACTTTCTAGAGAGGAAGTAAAAACTACTTAGCAACCATGAGATTTACTCTTTCTAATTTAACTATTTTCCTGTTACTGGTTTCACCTGGAAAGTAGTATAGCGAGTGTTCTCAACAAATTAGGTCGCTCGCCTACCATTGCGTTAATTCATGCTTCGACCTCTATCCAGCACTCGTATTGTCACAGCTCTTTTGTCTACTGGCCCCTTAAACGAGTGAATGCTTCGCTAGGGCATGAAGAGGTGCCTTGCGTAACGGTAGCCCCCCGCCCAGTGAGTGTGAAGTGCGGGTTTGAGATCCTCTGAAGTCAAGTCTTTTGTAAATGACTCATAATCCCAATGACAATGTTTTCTTCATAGTTATGTCCCGGTTAAGTCTGCTATCATCTGGGTAACCTGGCAAGGGTGCCTACGATGGTCGATCTCCTAATAAATGGGTAGGTGAACCCTTCAAAATTTTGCCGCGTCGCTCTGAACTGAGTTTCGGTTCTTCCCTCAACCTATTGAGGAACTTACAAGGAATGCTACACTCATAAATTGTTGTTGTTGTTATTGCCTATCCACTGTATAGCGTACAACGATGTCTCATTTTGATAAGCTGATGGAGCGGAGTGAACCATTATGACTTTGAAAAAAGTAGAATTCAATTTCTCCAGATCTGCTGAGTATCGGGATGCTCGTCTCCATCAAGTTTGCGACCTTATGGAGTGGCGTGCTCTCGGCGTTTGTAGTGGGTACTTGCTTCATTGGAGCGCTTATTATTTCTAACGAGATTTCCTCTATGCACGACGACGTCATGGACATCATTGGAGAATTCAAGGTAGGACGTTTAGTTCAACGAATTTGCGCACAATGATGGCAGCTAGGTTACCTAAAATTACAGCATGAAAGGTTAAAGTCTTTCGTCGTTGATCATTCTCTTTATAGGGTGCGCAGGCAATCCACTTCCATTCACAATCGTAGTGCGTTGTTGAAGGCGGTGTGGTTCCTGGGTAGCTTGTGGGGTCACACGTGTGTACCTGGTACCGATTCATTGTCCCCGGAGGACAGAAGGTTAGGTTGGCCTGGGCGGAAGCCGACCAGGGATTCGACCAGGACCGCGCACAGCGTAAGCGTGCCA